CCTGCCCCCGCTGCCTGCTCCTGGCCCTCCTGTCCGCCCCCCCGGCCCCCGCCCCCCTCCCTTCCGCCTGCTCCTCTCGCACCTCCTCTTGGTCCCTCCTCCTCCTCGCGCCCCTCCCGCTTCCACCCTCGCCCCCGTCCCTGCGGCGCCGACGCATCCTGGGCCCCACTCTCCTCCTCCTCCTCCTCCTCCTCCTCCTCCTCCTCCTCCTCCTCCTCCTCCCTCCTCCTCCTCCTCCTCCTGCACCTCCTCCTCTTCCTCCTCCTCCCCCTCCTCCTCCTTGTCATGCTCCTCCTCCTCCTCCTCCTTGTCCTCCTGCTCCTCCTCCTCGTCCTCCTTTCCTTTGCCGTATAAACAACTTCTCCCTGTCGCACCCCGAGGCCAGCTTTTAGGGCGGGCAGGGCGTCTCGCCTGAGGCTTACTCACCATGTGTGAATCTGAAGCGATGGAAACAGCTTCATAGATGGAGGGCGGGTCGTTTTCAAAACGTGGCTGTCGCGTTAGCGCCGCGCACACTCGTTTTCACAATGTTCAAGACTGTCACGGATTGAGGGCGGGAGGTCTTCAACATGTGACTCTTGCCTTAGCGCCCCGCACATTCTTGTTAAACATTAGCAAGGGCTTCACGGATTGAGGGCGGGTGATATTCAAAATGTGGCTGTCGCCTTAGCGCCGCGCACATTCGAAAAAAAATGGTGTTTTGGAAGGGTTCAGGATTATGCGGGCGCAACAGTTCTATTGACTCGCGGTGTTGAAATTCCCAGAATGGCGTTCTGGCACCATTCCAGATCGTCAGGACGCAGCAGTCAGGTTGATCCGTGGCGTGGTAAACCCGAGAACACTGTTCTGGCATGCTTATAGGTCTTCAAAAAGTTGTCTTCCAACGAGGCAATTCCCTCAATGGAAATAAACCGTTGTAGAGGCCTATGAAGAGGGAGCTTGGAGGGAGGGTGTATTCCAACATCGTTGATGACTATTGGATTACACTGGTCCTCCTCCTCATCCTCCTCCTCCTCCTCCTCCTCCTCCTCCTGCAATCCCTGCAACCCCTATCGACCCCATGTCTGCCCGACGCGGCCGAGGCAAGCGAGCGCCGAGCCACGGGGACGCCGAAGGCTGGCCGGACGCGAGCGCGGCGCAGCCGCTGCCCCCCCCCTCCCCCCCCGAAAGGCCACCCCTGAGGCGGCGGCGCGCCCAGCCGCAGCCGCCTCGCAGGCAGCCCTCGGGCTGCCTCCCCCGCCCATCCTCTGCGAGGGCTGCTCGCCGATGCTGCGGCGCCGCGCGGAGTCAGACTGAGGCCGGCTCCCCCGCGGCAGCCTCCTCACTTGAGCGGCTTCTTGTCCGGCGTTTCGACAGTGGGCGGCGGGGGGGGGCGGGCGGGGAGTCTGGCCCCAGACCTCTGCATAGAGCGACTGTGTGCAACAGTGCGTCCGATGGGGGAGGCCCCGCCTGTTCGAAACGGGCGCCTGAAACGGCCAAGATCCACTCCCCGATCGCCAGAACAATGGGCAAGAAAACGACCACGAACCGCTCGTCCGCTTCGCCGCCGCTCCGAGTCAGACTGAGCCCGCACCCTCCGCGACAGCCTCCTCCCCAGACCCCCTCGGGTGATGAAAAAATCATGACGCGAGGTGTTTTGCTATTTTCGTTCTCCCGGGGCCCTTACCGGCCCTCGGGACCATCAGAAAACGACTCAGGATGAAAAATCGGTCCAGGGGAATGGGTCGAGACCTCCAGGTGTCGACGTAATGGAAAATCATGACGTCGGGGGTCTGGGTCATTGACACGCCCGAAGCGTGCACGGAGAAAGGTGGCACCAGGCTCATCAACGAGCGTGGTCCAAAGCCGGGAGCCGCGGTTGGGCAGACGAGCCGTTGCCTCAAGCGGGCGGGCGGCGTCGGCGGCGACACCGGCAGCGAGCCCTGCTCAGAATGGACAGGAACTACGGTTGATCTTCGTCCGCATTATTTTCGCACGTCAGCCTCGTGTCTTGCCGACCAAGGCGTCGGTCTCTGACGCCGCGTGGATCGTTCAACCTTGAACGATCGGCGATTTTCAATCGCTAGGTCGGTCTATTTTGGCTGACTATGGACCACTGGCGGCGTCGACACGACACGAACCTACCGTACGAATTTCTGAATAAATATTGAAACGCAAACTTTCTTAGATTCGCGCGGGTTTCTTGGATCGGCGCTGGACACCCCTCCCTGGCGCGCGGAGCGCGCCAGGGGCGGCGCCGGAGGCGCCGCCAGCGTGCCTCAGCGCAGATCCAAGAAATCCGTGCGGTACTCCCATGCAGTTCTTGCGCTCAAAGGGGGAAGGGGGAGGGGGGAAAGCTTCTTAGAAGAGGCTGCTCACTGGACGGCGCGGGCCTTACACCTACAGACAAGGCCCGCGCCTTCTAAGAAGCAGGGGTGCTTCTGAGAAGCCTTCTCCCCTCCCTCTACCCCCCTCTACGCGTGGCCGAAGTGGTTCCTCCTTGCAATGTCGACCTCCCACTTCAGATCGCGCCCGCGGGCCCCCAGCCCCTCCGCTGGATCTCGTGCGCGTCCCCCACGATGACGGGGATGGCGCCCGCAATCGCGGACTCGTAGACCCTGGGCACGGCCCCCGCCCATGCTCCAGACCTCTGGCGCCGACCGAGAGATACGCCACTCACTGGCCATCCCTTCTCCGCCCAGACCGGCTCGCCCTGTAGGATTAGAGAAAATAAAATAATAAATGGTCCTGGTCATAGGGCCCCAGGGTCCCGCATGCACTGCCGCACCCGCATAGCTCCGGCTGCAATTGCACAGCGTCCCGCCCATCGAAGGTCCCGTCCGCATTCATTGCCTCGTCCGCTGGGGGCGAAGGGTCCCTGGGCCAGACCCCGGGGTATCGTCCCCCCGCGGGTTCGTCGGCACTCTGCGAGGCTCTGAAGAAACCCACTGCAGGCGCAGATTTTTTCACACATTACCCAACGAGCCCGTCGCAAGCGCCGCATCCATTTTCGTCAAAGCAGCGTGGGTAGGTCGAGGGTGGGTCGCGGGTGGGTCTCGGGTGGGTCTCGGGTGGGTCGTGGGTGGGTCGCGGGTGGGTCCCGGGCGGGTCGGCAGAGGGTCGAGGACGGGTTGCAGGCGAGAACGGCAACAGCAACTAACAACAATAATCCTCACTGAGGACTCCTCTTCAGGCATGCACCCAGGGATAGTGTAAGACCAGTCGGCCCCCTCACTCTAGGAGAACAAGAGGGGAGATAAGAAATATAGACAATACATCATATCTATATGTGCATACATACATGCATGCATGCATGCATGTATGCATGCATGCATGCATACACACATGCATTCACACATACACATATACATATACATATACACATACATATACCTATACACATACATATACACATGCATAAACATGCACATATACATATACATATGCAGATACCAACACATATACAATATATATATATATATATATATATATACAGATACATATCCATATAACTATACATATACAGTTACACATTCATATACGTACACCTACACCTAAACATACACATACACATACACATACACATACACACATACATACATACTTACATACATACATACATACATAAATACATACATGTGTATATGCATACATTTAGGCGCATACTTCCCCAACAGTGCTTGCGCCTGGAGCCCTTACTTCTTTTGTATGGAACTGGGCTGGTGTGCCGGTCTGGCGGCTATGTTGCCGCCGTCGCCGTTCCGCCTCTCTTCGCACGCCGTCTGAGCCAATGTGCCACTCTGGCGGCTATGTTGCCGCCGTCGCCGCACCGTCGCCGCCTCGTCGCCGCCCGTTGTCTGGGCCGGTGCGCCGCTCTGGCGGCAATGTTGCCGCCGTCGCCGCCCTGCCGCCGCCTCGTCGAAGCCCGTCGTGAGGGCTGGTGTGCGGCTCTGGCGGCTATGTTCCCGCTGTCGCCGCCTCGTCGCCGCCTCGCAGGGATTGCACCGCATGGAAAGCACAGGATAGATTGCCCCACACAGATTGCACCAGATAAGTTGCACCGCACATATTGCACCAGATGGATTACACCACATAGATTGCATATCACATTACACCAAATATTGCCCCGTATAGATTGCACCACGTCAATTTCTCCACACGAACTGCACCACACCACATCAATTGCACTTCTTATATTGAATATCGCAGGTTACACAACATAGACTGCATCACACATCTTGAACTACGTCGACTGCACCACATAGTGTGCGCACCGCATCGAGTGCACAAGTACCAAACATGCTTCACAAGCATAGATTGCACAGCATATGCACAACCTATATCGCACCACATAGATTGCACAATGTGTATTGCACAGCATAGCTTCCCCCACTAGAATGGCACAATCTACATTGAACAACGTATGTTGTACAGCATGGTTCGCACAACATAGATCGCACCACCTAGACTTGCCTTCCGTAGATTCCACAACTTATCTTGCTAGAAGCACACTGTGTGGGGTCAACGCTGGCTACCACGCACATATGTTCACAGAGAGAGATACTGTGGATAGCAAATACATATATAAATAGACAAACGGAGAGAGGCGGGGGGAGAGAGAGAGAGAGAGAGAGAGAGAGAGATAGAGAGAGAGAGATATGAAGAGACGAAGAGGAAGAGAGAGGGAAGGAGAGACAGAGAGAGGGACAGGCAGACATAGAGAGAGAGAGAGAACAACGCAAAGGGGGATGGCAACACGAGGCAGGAGTGGCGTGCAGCTGATCTACCATAATGCTCTCCTGCACTGGCACGAAATAGGGAAACAGCAAATGGAAAGGATCAACATCAAAGACGCAATGCGTACACATTGATAACATAACCAATACAATATTCAAAGGTTGCATGTGAGAGACAGCGCGTCAAAAAGGGCCAGTGCGAGAACGGCAATCCAGACATGTAGCTATACACCAACCCGGGACAATTCACAACTCTTGGCCACGCCTCTGGACCTACACGAGGTAAACGTGAGGGAGGCGACAACGTAGATGACAATACCCCAGGCAACCAGGCACAAACACATGCAAGCCTGAAACATTCATTGTTCTTGGCGCCCGGCAAGTTCGGAGCGAACACAGCCTGTGGAACATTCAGACACGCCGTGATCATGATGCAGGGGCATCTGCTTGAATGAATCCACTGCGTCTACATACTTCTCTCGCTCATCAGTTCGCCTGGACATCCCGCATCAGAAGCTCAAGAATGGGACCCCGATGGCAGGAGCGGCTGAGATCGATCACTCGGCCGCGATCGGCGTGGACAAACTCGAACTGGTTGTCCTCCTCATCCGCGTTCTCCTCCTGCCTATTCCTCCGCTCTTATCAAATCAATCAACAACCAAACCCAGTCGAAGCCTTGAGAAAACACTGGCCTTCGCGGGCATTCGCAGCTGCTTCCCCTGAGTAGGAAAGGCGTCCTGGCTAGAGTGGGCGGGGGAGAGGGTGGGAAGGGAACGAGGACGGGTGGAGGCGAGGGAAGAACTTCCAGCCACATACTGAGACCTCCGCCATTAAGCTGACCCAGAAATTTAGAAAGGCTCCGGCCAACGTGCAGCGCCATCGGCAGGCTGGCGCGGGAACCTGCGAAGAAGTATGTGCACGTGGGCTTCCCAGCTCTGCGGGGCACAATCAACCCGCATCCGAAGGACGCACGATACGGATGCAAGGGCCTCGGAAGGCCCACTCGAAGCCTTTCGAGCGGGGCGCTGCCAACGAAAGTGGCCAAGGACGGACTGGGGAGGGCAGGATGCAGGGGAACCCTTGGGAAGCTTGCTCATCCTTACCATGCGGGTCGACTGTATCCAAACAATCGTATACCTGCCGAATGCCTCCACTCCGCTTGGCGCTTGGTCCGCGCCTTGACGTGCACGGTTTTCCCCTGGGGCCGTAGGCGACCCGAGGAGGAGGAGGTGGAGTAGGAGGCGAGATGGAGGAGGAGGAGGAGGAGGAGGACGACGAGGAGGAGGAGGAGGAGGAGGAGGAGGAGAATGAGGAGGAGGAGGAGGAGGAGGAGGAGGAGGAGGAGGAGGATAATGGAGGATGGAGGATGGGAGGGGAGGAGGAGGAGGAGGAGGAGGAGGAGGAGGAGGAGGAGGAGAGGAGGAGGAGGAGGAGGAGGAGGAGGAGGAGGAGGAGAAGGACGGGTCGCCTAAGCCCTTCGGAGAAACCCTGCACCTTGACGATCAGAGTGCCAGGAATCGGGCAGCGACCCGTGCTGGGTGCAGTCGCGCGTGTATAGCTGCGCAGCCGCGCGCTCGAGAGAGGTCGTGGCCCAAGGGGCTGGAGGAGGAAGCGGCGGAGGCAGCGGCGGCCGGAGGGAAGGACGGGGACGAAGAGGCCGCAGTCTGTTTACTCGTGGCACCTGTTCTGGCCATCGCTCGGACGTCCATTCCCTGTGTTTTCTTTGGTGTCGTGCGTGGCTTTTTCGGCAAATGGTCAAGGATGCTCCTCGATGGTTCTCGCCGGAGGAAGAATGCACACGTCCGAGCGATGCCAAGGGCCAAGTGCTTCGTCACCCCCGCCAGCTTCCTGTCTTCCCTCCCCCTCCGCGCGGGGGGAAAGAGCAGGCCGCAGGAGGCGCGCGCGGGGCGCCTCGGGCTGCCCCTCGGCCCACCCGGGGAGCACTCGGAGCCCCACGGCTCCCACGAGAACCCGTCAGCCCTCCCAGCACGCCGACGACGACGACGTCGACGACAACGACGACGACGACGGCGACGACGACGGCGCAGACGACGACGACGACGGCGCAGACGACGACGACGGTGACGGTGACGACGACGACGACGTCGACGACGACGACGACGAGGACGACGACGACGGCGACGACGACGGCGCAGACGACGACGACGGTGACGGCGCAGACGACGACGAGGGTGACGGTGACGACGACGACGACGACGTCGACGACGACGACGACGACGACCATGACGACGACGACGACGACGACGACGACGACGACGACGGCGACGACTACGGCGCAGACGACGACGACGACGACGACGACGGCGCAGATGACGACGACGGTGACGGTGACGACGACGACGACGTCGACGACGACGACGACGACGACGACGACGACGACGACGACGACGGCGACGACGGCGACGAAACCCGGCGCGCCGCCCCCGCGAGGCGCGGCCGCTTTCGCGCCCCCGCGCCGCTTCCCCCCCCCTCTCGTGGGGAGGCAGCCTACTTGCCGCAGGCCCGGCCGCGGCTCGCGAAGCGCGGTCATCTGCATGCCCCTGGAGGTGACCCGGGGAAACCTCGAGCAGGGGAACGAACAATGACAGAAACATAAAAACTCAGAGGTCCGCGCGGATGTCTCGGATCGGCGCTGGAGCCCCCTGGCGGCGCCTCCGGCGCCGCCCCTGGCGCGCTCCGCGCGCTAAGGAGGGGGGTCCAACGCCGATCCGAGAACTCCGCGCCGAACTCCGAGTTCTTCTGATTATGACATTGTCTGTTTTCCTATCAAGGGATTGCAGGCTGCATGCTGCACGTTGCGCAGGCCGTGCGCTGCCTGTTTGTACACGTCGAACATCTCGGCGCCCTTCTTCTGCCCGACGAAGGCCTCCGTCGAGTCGAGCTGGTCGTCGTGGCTGAACCTGAGCCCATGAGGGGACAGTGCGGGAGGGAAGAGGTCTGAGAGTAGGTGTACGCCCTCGCCCTCGCTACCAAGCCATACCAGCTCATACTGGGCATTAGGCTGAAATTCACTGTTCAGCTTGGTATGAGCTGGTAGCAGAGGGCATTATCGCTATGTTCCGTTTTTGTTGCTTTGGCTGGCGCGCTTGACGTGCCAAGAGTTAAACATGTGTAAGACTACCGCGCGCCTTCGCTGCAAGGAAGAGAGAAGGGATCGGTGCTGAGACGAAAAGAGCGTCTCAGTAATAGAAGTACATCCCTTGCACCCAAGGACCATATCTGATCTTGGGCGAAGCAGCGGGCCAGACGCCTTGCTACCTAGATCGTGGGGCGACAGTCAAGGAGAGGGAAAGGAGGAACATGCAAATGAAAATTCACCTGGCGAAGAACCCAACCATATGCAATTGTGGGTACAACCCTTGCATGCGCCGCATTCGGTGGGGCTCCCTATGAGGCCGCGAAGGGTGTGAGGGGTGTGCCAAAATGGGTGCGTTGGGCGCATGCGAACGCTGGCATTTGGGCCTTCGGCGGGGCTCCCTATGGGGCCACGAAGCGTGTGAGGGGTGTGCCAAAATGGATGCGGTGTGCGCATGCGAACGCTGGCATTTGGGCCTTCGGTGGGCTCGCTATGGGGTCACGAGACGTGTGAGGGGCGTGCCAAAACGGATACGGTGGGCGCGTGCGAACGCGGGCATTTGGGCCTCCGGTAGGGCTCCCTATGAGGCCACGAAGCTTATGAAGGGTGTGCCAAAATGGGTGCAGTGGGCGCATGCGAACGCTGGCATTTGGGCCTCCGATGGGACTCCCTATGGGGCCACGAAGCGTGTGAGGGGCATGCCAAAATGGGTGCAGTGGGCGCATGCGAACGATGGCATTTGGGCCTTCGGTGGGGCTCGCTATGGGGACACGAAGCGTGTGAGGGGCGTGTCAAAACGGGTGCGGTGGGCGCATGCGAACGCTGGCATTTGGGCCTTCGGTGGGGCTCCTTACGGAGCCACGAAGCGTGTGAGGGGTGTACCAAAATGGGCGCGGTGGGCGCATGCGAACGCTGGCATGTGGGCCTTCGGTGGGGCTCCCAATGGGGCAACGAAGCGTGTGATTCGTGTACTGAAACAGATGATGACGATGATGAGAGACGGCGGGGGGCAGCGGGAAGATGAGGAGTGAACTCGGGGACCGTCTCTTCGAAACGAGGACCCATTACCACAGGATGGTTGGGAAACATGAGAGCCTCCACTCGTGCAAAGTCTGTCCAGAATGCCATTCACTGGCACGCCGAGCTCTACACCTATGCGCGCCAGAGAAGGGTCCCAGGGCCGCTTGCAAACATCGTGGCCGTCTCGGACCTGTAGCAGACTTACCCCCTCCCGATCCCCCCGATTGGCCGATGCAGGATGCTTCTCGCCTCACTTCCACGAATCAGGGCTGCGCCTCAGCTGCACGAGGGTTCAAGTGAGACTGCACCCCACACGAACCGACCTGCAAGAGGCAAGCCCATGCGTTGAACAGCAGGACGCATTTAGCCTACCCACTCTGGGGCAGGAGAAGCCAGAATCGAATCGATAAGTCGGATCGGCGATTGAATGAACCGGATCGGCGGAAGAAGGCAGCCGAGTCGGGAAAAGTCGAGTCGGCGGAAATCGGCAGGCCTATATGCCTCTAACCAGAAATCGGAACCCACATGGAATCCCATATCGAATCGAATCGGAAGTCACCGAAATCGAGTCGAATCGAACTGGAGGAGCCGAAGTGAGCCCAGGGAATACCCCCGCAGCCCGCCTGGACGCCCACCACCCGTCCACTCGCGCCGGTGGCGGCGTCGTTCGCCCAATCCTCGAGCGATCGGCGGCCCATCCATCGCCAGATCATCTCCTCCTCCTCCTCCTCCTCCTCCTCCTCCTCCTCGTTCTGTGTTTCGGTTTGCGCTGCCCGTTCTCCTCTGCACCTCCCTGCCCAGAACGAAACACAAGAAGCACGGCCGGAGTGTGGCAAGACAGCGCCTAGGTCCAGCTCTGCCTGGCGGATGCCGAAGGATTCGGTGAATATCGGCCTCCGATTTCTACAGTTAGGTCGGGCATGCCGTCCTACAGGCGGATTCTGGACGAATTCTCAAAAATGGTCACACAGAAAACCCAACAAGGTCAAACATAGTTAGTCAAAACTCGTCCCTCGAGTATTTTTGGACTATCCCACCAGCCCTCTGGGCGTAGGTGGTCTAGAGCAGATCCTCTTCCACCCCTCCCTCTTCCCCCTTGGGGAGGGGTTTACCCCTCCCCCTACCCCCTCCCCTGGACCTGGACGGGGGGGGCCGCGGGTAGTTAGAGCGTCCAGATGGCCCAAGACGGCTCCAAGAGCGCCTCAGAGAACCCAAGATGAGCTCCAAGATGGCTCAAGATAGCGCAAGATCGCTCACGATGGCTCCTAAGATGGTTCCAAGAAGCCCAAAGACGGCCCCAAGATAACTCCAAGTGGCCAAACAGCTCCCCAAGGAGGCCCCGAAGAGGCCAAAATCGTCCCAAAACCTAAGGAAAATCAATGATTTTTGCTTTCTCGCCTTTTCGCTTCCGATGGCCATCCGAGGCCTGGAGATGGCTCCAAGATGGCCCAAGAGGGCCCCAAGAGAGCCCCAAAAGAGCCCCAAGACGGCCCCAAGAGCGCCCAAGAGCACTCCAAGAGCGTTCCAAGAGGGGTCCAAGAGGCGATTTTAGGGGCTTCCGAGGGGGGGCGCTAATTAAACCCCCCCTCTTGTTTGATCGATCTCCTCCAAGATGGCCCCAAGAAGCGCCCAGGAAGCCCCAAGAGGTCCCAAGATGGCCCCAAAATGGCCCCAAGAGGCCCCCAAGAGGCCCCCCGGAGGCCCCCAAGAGACCCCCAAGAGGCCCCAAGAGCCCCCCCAGATGCACCCAAGATGCTCCAAGAGGCCTCGGCGAGAATGCCTAATCATTGATTCTACACAGGTTTTAGCCACATGGAGGCCTCTTGGGGGGGGGCACGGATTAAGATGACTCCAAGAGCGTCTGGGAGAGCCCAAAATGACCTCCAAGATGGCTCAAGATATCCCAAGATGTCTCATAATGGCTTCCTCTGTGTGCTGCCCACTTCTCTGATCGAGGCAATTCCTCTGGGCATCGTTTCTGGATGGGCTGGTGGGGATTCGCGAAGCGACAACAATTTTTGAATATTCCTCCTGTAGAGGGACATGCCCTACTCAATTCTACAGGCAGCTGGGCTCCTGGGCGCCTGATTCCAGAGCTGTCGGTCATGGTTCTCCTGTGCCCAGGGTAGAGAGCCATGCACAGCAGAGAGGAGGAAGCTGAGAGTGGAGAAGATACAAGAGAGCGACCCAGGTAGCCCAAAGGAGGGTAGAGGGCAGAGGTAGAGGGTAAGAGGGCAGACAGCAAGGAACTCAGCTCAGAGCGCCGAAGGCAAAGGGCACATAGCGCACCCAAACACAGAACCAGACGCAAAGAGGTCCGGGTCCCGTTCGAAAGAGCAGCGGCCACAGAGGTCGCCGCTGCTTCCGCAAGGCTTCTGTTTCCTGGGCCCGTCTTTGATGACCCTGGAGGCCGCAACCGGCAAGAGAATGCCTGGACAGAACACAAGCAAAGAACCGAGGAGGCCAGAATCGAGGAGACGTAAGAACGAAGAAGCTACGGGAGTCGAGGAGAGTTCGTCGGGACATTGGGGGGGCAGCTGGCGGCGAGGGAGCCGCTTGCCGCCCAGCAGCTCGGAGACCATGTCGGCGCGGTTGCCCCAGGGCGTGTCGTGCATGCCGCCCACGAAGGCCCAGCCGTACTTCCGCTGGCGGGTGCCTGGCTGGCTCGTCGCGGGCCGCAAGGCTTACGCCTCCAGGAGGACCCCCGGGAGGAGTAGCCCAGGGCCCGCGACCCGCTCAGCGTGTCGCTTCGGCGACCCAAGCGACACGCTGTGCCCTGCGAGCGGATAGCGCGTCGCTCCGCCCCGCGGGGCGGCAGGCCGGGAAAGGCGCGGGCCTTGGGCGCCCGGGGACTAGGAAATGGGTAGCGCGCGTCGATGCGAAGCGTGGTGGGCCAGAACTGGTGGAGCGACACGCTGGGCCAAAGCTCCTGACTGTCTATCCTGGATGCTCTTTTCTTTAATATAAACAACTTTTTTTTTTGGTTTTCTTGAGCAGTAGAGCATCCAGGATCTGGGATCCGGATCAGACGCCTAGGCCCTAGGTGCCTGATGCGGCTGCCTCTCCCTGGGCCTCCGGAGGCCGAACGAGGAGCAGCTCCGGAGGCTTGCCGGAGGAGGCCTCCGCAGGCAGCCGGCGCGGGGGCAACGCTGGGGCGGGGGCCACCTCACGGAGGGGGGGGGGGGGGGGAAACATCGACCTCTGGACTCGGCGACGCATCGCCGATCGGTCGGCGATAGGCCCCCTCGTGCCAGGCCCGCACGGCCCCGGGCGGGAGAGGCCATGTCTCCCCTCTCGGCGACGCGTGGGCGATTGGGGTCGGTGTGCCCCCCCCTGAGCCCATCCCCCCCCCCTGACGACCCCCCACGCTGCAGGGCGGGGGGAGGAGCCCACATCACGGTGGCCCAGGGGGGGGAGGGGGCGCGGGGCATCACGGTGACCCGTAGGGGGGGTGGGGGGTGGCCCCGCGGCTCGACTCGCCTCGCGCTCGACACGGGCGCCCCCATGGCTCGACGCTCGCTTTCCTCGGCCGCGTCGGACAGACATGGGGCCGACAGGGATTGCAGGGATTGCAGGGGGAGGAGGAGGAGGAGGAGAGGAGGAGAAGGAGGAGGGGGAGGGGGAGGGGGAGGAGGAGGAGGAGGAGGAGGAGGAGGAGGAGGAGGAGGAGGAGGAGGAGGAGGAGGACCAGTGTCAACCCAAGAGTTATCAACGATGTTGGGATAAACCGTCCCTCCAAGCGCCCTCTTCATAGGCCGCAGCGGTGCATTTCCATTGAGGGAACTGCCTCGTTGGAAGCCAACCGTTCGAAGATCCTAAACATTGCTCTCGGGATTCTGACGCCACGGATCAACCTTATTGTTGCGTTTCGACGATCCTGAATCGTGCAACCACGCCATTCTTGGGACTTCAACACCGCGAATGAACGTAACTGCTGTTCCCTCGTCATCTGGAATCCTTCCAAAACGCCATGTCTGGTACTTTGACCATGGGATTCCGTGAAACTCTTGCAAATTGTATTAACGAATGTGCGCGGCGCGAAGGCGGGAACCACATGTTGAAAAAGAACCACCCTCAATCCGTGACGCTCTTGTGAAATGTTACAACGAATGTGCGCGGCGCTAAGGCAAGAACCACATGTTGAAAACAAGTTACCCTCAATCCGTGAACCCGTGGCAAATGTGTAAAATGAATGTGCGCGGCGCTCAGACGGGAACCACATGTTGAAAACGATCCACCCTCAATCAGTGAAACTATTGCAAAGTTTGAAACCGGATGTGCGCGGCGCTAGAGCAAGAGCCACATTTTGAAAACGACCCGCCCTGAATATGTGAAACGCTTGCACAAATTTGAAATGAGTGCGCGCGGCGCTAAGGCGAGAACCACTTTTTGAGAACGACCCGGCCTCCATCTGCGAAACTGTTGCCAATGTTGAAGCTTCAGGGTCGTAAGTGGTGAGGACGTCTCAGGCGAAACGCCCGGCCCGCCCTAAAGACTGGCCCCGGGGTGCGACAGGGATAAATCATCTATGAGTAGAAGGAATGGAGGAGGAGGAGGAGGAGGAGGAGGAGGAGGAGGAGGAGGAGGAGGAGGAGGAGGAGGAGGAGGGGAGGAGAAGGGGGAGGGGGAGGAGGGGGTGGGGAAGGAGGAAGAGGAGGAGGAGGAGGAGGAGGAGGGAGGTGGAGGAGGAGGAGGAGGAGGAGGAGGAGGAGGAGGAGGAGGAGGAGGGGGAGGAAGAGGAGGTTGGGAAGGAGGAGGAGGAGGAGGAGGAGGAGGAGGTGGGAAGGAGGAGGAGGAGGAAAAGGAGGAGCGCACGCTGCACCCTCGATGGCTCGACGCGGCGCAATCCGCGAGCGGGCGGGGCTCTGCCGCTCGGCCTCCCCCCGCCGGGCGGGCCTCTCGGCCGCGAGGGCAAACATTGAAGAGGCCCTGGGACACACACATAAAAAAACAACAAATGTCAGGATTCCTCATATGTTTCCATATTTTCTTTGTTTTGGTCTCCCCCCCATTTCCTATATTCTCCAATAGTTTCGGGGGAATTCGACGATTCATTTTGTCTGTGTGTTGTTTCCCCTTCTGGAAAACGCTGGGCAAGGGCTGCGGCCATGGCTGCGCGCCAGGCCCGGCCGTGGCGGCGAGGACCTCCCCAGGGGCAAGAGATCGTACAGGTCGAGGCAGCAAAAATCCAGGCTCGAACGTCGTCGTCCGTCGTCGTCGTCGTCGTCGTCGTCGTCGTCGTCGTCGTCGTCGTCGTCGTCCGTCGTCGTCGTCGTCGTCGTCGTCGTCGCCGCCGCCGTCGTCGTCGTCGTCGTCGTCGTCGTCGTCGTCGTCGTCGTCGTCGTCGTCGTCGTCGTCGTCGTCGTCGTCGTCGTCGTCGTCGTCGTCTGTCTTCTTCGTCGTCGTCGTCGTCTCCCTTCAGGGTCGGCGGCACCGGCCGTAAGGCCTTCGCAATCGATGCTCGAACATCGAGGGTGTGGCTGCCCCCGCCCGACGGGGTGGGGTTCTTGGACTTGCAGAGAAGAGCTCCCGCTCCGCCTCGCGCGCCCTGCATGCCGCGGCCGCCAGGCCCGAAGTGTGCAGGGGCTCCCCGGAGATCCCGCCTCGCGTCTTCGAGGGGTGGTGACTGCGCTCCGCGGCCGCTAGGCCCGAAGTGTGGCGGCGGTGCTCCCTGGGTAGCTCGCCTCGACTTCTTGGGTGGGTGTCCCTCGAAGCAGAATGTGTCATGTGTGACGAGTTCGGGTCGCAAGAGGCCTGGGGGTAGTAAGTTTCGCAAGGGAGGCGCGGCTGCTGCAAGTTTCCCGAAGGTGCCTGGGCTGCTGGGAGAGCTTTCCTGGGCCTCGGGGTCCACGAGCGCGGGGTGGGAGCTCAACTCTCGGAGGAAGAGGGGTGGAGATGGGTGGAGGCGCTGCTCGGGCCAGTGTCCCGAGGATGACGAGGAGGATGATCCTCGGCACCACGGCGGCTGGCTCGTACTGCCTCGATCACGGTGAAGGACTCCACCAAGCCTGTGCCCCGGCACGAAATATAATTCGCCTCTCTGGCCTGCGCCGTGATCAGAAGAAGCAGGAGGAACCTCTTCTCGCCAAGAAACCACACATTCATACTGCAGACGCTTGCATGTCATTCAATGTTGAACGCCATAAATCAATCGAATGACAGCCGTCGCCACTCCTCACCAACGAGCATACGCGACTCCGCCATGTCAGCAAATTCAACATCAAACCCGCTGGGACTTTTGAGCGAGCCATGACAACTCCGCCAAATGAAACCTGAGCTCAAGCCTAAGTGACGTGCAGCTGAATTTATAGATGGGAACCAATCCCAACTCTCTGATTCCCACCTGCGAACCCGGACTGGCTTTGATCGCGTCTTAGCCGATCTTTGACCACGTTCAGGGTCAGCCTCAAAAGAATAGCTCGAATTTTGGGAAGGAGTGACGTACTCTAAATTGCTGACACGATTGTTACTTGGATTCGCGTCTTTGTGGTGCACGAAACGATGCTGCACCGACGATGGTGCCCCAAGGAATGCACGGGCGACCAATCGGTGAACCAAAAAGATATGTTTGCGCCCGTGCGAAGATACACCAACTGAGCGATACCCACAACTATGCATCGCGCCCCAAGATATTACACCGCGAGTAGTTTGGACTCTACCAAGACTGCTCACAGCCCAGGTTGATAATACCTCCCCAGTGGTTGGATGCACAGCGCGGCGCCACTGCTCACCTGGGAGACAAACGTGCGCGCCTGAGTCTGCAAGTTTGAACTCGAAGCGTCCAGCAACTAATCTCTGCCGACCGTCGCAGCACCTAGAAATCGAACCCTTACCGATTGAGAAATACTGCGAAGCTTCCTTCATAGAGGCGAAATACATCCAAGTGCCACAGTCGCGTGGCTTGCCGAACACTGGCTTTGCATTCCCCTGCGCACACCTTCTCCGTTTGGGGTTCGCTTCGTATGAGTGCAACAGATTCTGTGATGGGGATACATACTCCAAATTGTATACCTGGTTATTACTGGGGTTGCAATCTTTATGGTTGACTTGGGAGAGCTCTGCTGATGGGGGCGGTCCGAGAAATGCATATGCAACAAGGCGGTGGACATAATTGTGGCTGCCCCCGATGTAGGTCCCATGGTAGCCTGATCGCATCTTGCAACCCCAAGTAATGATCCCTCGCTTGTCTTGAATTCTTCCAAATGAGCTCACGCCAGCCGCACCGATAGGCAGACCTGACGAGTGCAGCTTGGAGCAGCACGAATCCAACAAACTGCTACTTGCGCGCTTAGTCCAATAACGGGTATGATGAAACCTCGATTTGGCAATCGCCACGTACGGCATGAAACCAAAACGTGGAAGAACGTTCATACTTACATCAAGTGCCGTGTGGCCCAAGAGGATGCAGTCCGAACAATATTCTGGCCCAAAGGCCTTCAGACAATGGCTTGTGCCAAGGTGGCTGCAACTAGGAACACTTGGGACACAATGGCTTGAGCCGAAAAGCTACGGTCGGCACCCTCTTCGCGCCGGCTTCCGCCAGACTCGGAAGGCCCAAGACGGTGCGGTGACAGAGCGTGCGGTGACCTCGGAATCCCGAAAGGCCCCACCGCACGGTCCGTCACAGCACCGTCTTGTGACCCCGAGGGCCCCAGCTGCCCGAGACGTCCTCGGAGAGCGACCCGAGCTCCCAAACCGTGCTGATGCCCACGGGCTCACAACACGGTGCGGCCACCGCACCTTTTGAGGGCCCCGGCCCCGACAAGCGCTGGGGCCCCTCGAGGGGGACCCGGAGCCCCCGCGTTGCCCCAGGCCGCCGCACCTCCGAGCGCCGCGCTCGGACAGCGAAGCCTCGGCTCCCGCGCGCAGCTGTGGCACAATTGTTCTGCCCTTCCGTTTCTGTGCGGGGGGGCGCCGCCGCGGTGGCCGCAAGCTGGCCGCATCAGCAGCGGGGCCGCGGGCCCTCAGCGGCCAGGCCTCCTCCGGTGCCCCTCGGCCAGGAGGTGCTGGGATAATCAAACAAAAATGCGAAAATAATAACAATGAGACGAATCAGAAGAAGAATCAGAGGAGGAATAATGACACGAAACGGCAAGAAGAAGACGAATGTTCCCAGCTGGGTGCAGCTGGGTTGGCACACGGCCATAGCGTTGGGAGCGGACCCCCGCTCCGACGCTGCAACCAAAGCATCGCCATCTGGAACCCCACTGGCGAATGGCTCCCCCTTCTGGACTCCAGCTGCGCCGATGTGTGTGGAGAGCGCCCGAGGAACAGCCCGAGCGAGGACCCAGGGAACGCCAAGCCCATTCCACAACCACAGCTAGGATAGCAAAGAACGGCGTGAACATAAACTTTCGCCGCTCCGCGCGGATCTCTTGGATCCGCGCTGGACCCCCCTCCCTGGCGCGCGGAGCGCGCCAGAGGCGGCGCCAGAGGCGCCGCCAGCGGGGCTCAGAGCTGATCCAAGAAATCGGCGCGGATCTCCCAAAGCTTATGTTTATTATGACGCTGTTTGTTTGTTGTTCGGACAGTGGAACTTGGTCCAACCCTTTGACTGTGTGGTATGCACCTTCCAGCGGGGTTACCCTGCGGCAGGCGGACGCCCATTACCTTGCGCGCTGACTGTTGCCCCAACGCTGCAGAAGATGTGTGCTGCTCGCCTGCTCCGCACGCGCGGGGAGGAATGAGGACGAGGCAGGGGTGGGGGGAGGAGGAGGGGGAGGAGGAGGAGGAGGAGGAGGAGGAGGAGGAGGAGGAGGAGGAAGAGGAGGAGGAGGAGGAGGAGGAGGAGGAGGAGGGCGAAGAGGATCCCCCCCAGTCGCAGCGCCGTTCGCGGCGTTCAGCATGGCGGCGCTGCAGGAGTCGCCGTCGAAGTCGAGGTGCATGTTGTACCCTCGGTTGGGCACCGAATCCGGCACCGCCCCGGCCAGCCCTATATAGAGGACGTCGTGAAGAGTCGTGCCGGCCTCTCTCCGACTGGTCTTTCCAGCAACAGAACGGCAATCGACGAAAACGCTGTCACTGGGAGGGGTCGGGCAAGATCGGGGGGCAGTGGGGCTGACAAAAAACATGGCGTCGGAGGTCCGTGACCAGCTGGCTCCTATCTGCCGCCGGGTGGCGCCTGCCTCTCGGAGGCAGAGAGCAAAGGAAGGCGGGGGGGTACAGTGAGGGCGCGGCCGCAAGAAACCCTCGCAAGAAACCCAACCCTGAAAACCCGTGCGCGAGGTGCGCATGAGGGGAATCCGGGAGCGCCCTGAACGCAGCAGCTTCTTCCACGGCTGCGGAAGTCACCGCGCAGCGGGCGGAGCGAAGAAACCCAGAATACCCAGACGAAAAGCACATGGTTTCTTGATGCGCGCCCCCACTGTAGGAACATGGAGAAGCGACACCACCACCACCAGGGACCACCAGCGGGAGTAGGCAAGGATGAAGGGGCCCCAGGACACACAAATAAATACACACAAATAAAAAGGTCCCCCATATTTTCCTATATTTTTGGGTTTTTTGTCTTCCCCCCCACTTCCCATATTTTCCCATATTTTCCTGGGAATCGAGGATTAATAGTGTCTGTGTGTTTCTTTCCCTCCTGAAAGGAGGGGTCCCCCTGGTGGTGTGGTACCCCTCCCCCTCTCGCTCGAGATATCCCCTATCCCCAGCTCGGGGAGGCACCGTGAGCCTGCTCGCTGGAGGTGGCCCCCTGGTGGTGTTGGCGTCGCTCCGCCTGCCTCCCATGGGGGGGGGAGGGAAACACAGGGGGGAACTCAACGGGGGGCTTCCAGGACACAGGGCGTCACTAGGTATGAGCCGTGCCGCAAGCCGTCCCTGCCGCGGGGCTGCTCTTGCGATGGCAAAGAATAAAAAGTGTCGCAAGCCGTCCAGGTACCTCTTCCCACCCACTTTTCCTGCCCATCCCCGTCGCCTGATCAGGCAAACCACACCCGCAGCCGAGCCCCGCCCCGCCAAAGGCGGCGCACGGGAGCGAAATCAAAAGAAAAGCGCCCCAGAGAGACCTATTTCCTCGAAATCGGCCCTCGATTTCGGTCCTAACTACCCCTTGGGCGTGGACCAACTGGGCTCAGCGCAAACCCAGCTCAGACGTCGTAGGAAAAACCTGCGCTGCCGTTCTTTGGGGGGTTTCCCAAACGCGGCTCGGCCGATCTGTAAGGCCACCTCCAAGGCCACAGGTGCCTCCCATACCCAACTCGGCCCAAATCCGGCTTTGCAAGAGCCTGCAGGATCCGCCGCTCTGGCTGAACCCCGTTTGCGCTGAACCCCACTACCTGCCGGCTAAAACCCCCCACACACTTCGAATAGGGGACCGACTACAAAATTGAATTACCACAATTGCTTCGTCGCATCGATTAAAAAAAAGCCTAGAATGCCCGCAAATGTAAGATGATTATATTTTGTCTGGTAGATTCGACGGGAATTACAATATTGGGACAAATCAATTCTGTAGTCGATCGCCTACTCGAACACTCCCCAATCCTCCCGGGGCCCACACCAAAATCAATGGACGTTCTGGGCTCTCAGGGTTGGGCTTCTCGTGGAAGGTTTCTTGTTCTGGACGCCCGAAATGGGTACGGAAAGAATGTATACAACGCCCAACAGCAGTTCCTGTTCATTTTGAACAGGACTCGCTGTCGGTGTCGCCGCAGCCTGTGTCCATTCGAGACAGAGGGCCGCCTGCCCATCAGCGGCCGCTGTTGGTTTGGGACAACATTTGTTGGTGGGCAGTGTACCCATTTTTCCGTGCCCATTTCGGGCGTCCAAACTTGTGGTCGACCTCCTACTGTACCTGCCGGCTGAAACCCCCCACCCTGCCCAATCCCCTGGGTCCGCTGGCCAGAATATCTCGAGAGTAACATTATGTCGGGCGTGTCCCCCATACAGGGGGATCTTCCACGAAAAAATAAAAATAGCCCAACAATACTCCAATTACCCCAGTGCGACCCTACCTAGAAGTTGGAGCAACTAGGAAAGCAGCATTACTTGCTATGCTATGCTATGCTATGCCATGCTATGCTGCGCTATGCTATGCTATGCTATGCTATGATAAGCTATGCTAAGCTATGCTAAGCTAAGCTATGTAATGCTGCGCTGTGCTATGCTAAGCTATGCTATGCTATACTGCGCTGTGCTATGCTGTGCTGTGCTGTTCTGCGTTATACGTTGCTATGCTATGCTATGCTGCGCTATGCTATGCTACGCTGGGCTATATTATGATGTGCTGTGCTGCGCTATGCTATGCTACGCTCTGCTATGCTATGCTGTACTCTGCTATGCTAAAGCTCAGCGAAGCTAATATGAAGGTAAGATAAGCTAAGATAAACCTGAGGTAAGATGAAGCTAAACTAAAAGATTATGAAATCAGCTAAGCTAAGATGCGATAAACAACGCTAAGCTAAGGGGACGTAACTGGGGGAACCGCGGGGCGGATGCTGGGGCAACCGCCCGGGGCGTTTTCCACTGCCCGGCCCCTTTAAGCCAAGACAGTAAGAACCCTTCTAGGCAGAGCCTAGGTAGGGAAAAAGGTAAAAAAATACTAAAACAAAAAAAGTCCCCGGACTATTTTTGGAGTATTTTTGGATTACTTTGGGTTTTTTTTTCTCTCGTCGAAAATCCCCTGTAGGGGGACAGGCCCGACATAAGAGTAACCCACAGCCGTGGCGACGAGAGGCCTGCGACAAATCCCAACAACAAGAGCGCGAATCCTCGATCCTCCATCTTCGAGCCCTCTCCTAAGACGAAGCTGGGACGGACGAGGACAAATTCGGGTGAGGACACATCGAGAATCTCAGAGATCCGGCGGCTCTGAAGGATGTATCGGGCGCCGCGGCCTTCCCAGAGCGTACCGGAACGCTCCGAGAGCGCTCTGGAACGCTCTGGCGCACAAGCCCTCTCCTCCTCCTTCCTCCTTCTCCGCTGGTCAGCGATTTTCCATCCTGGATTGATGTCTGACGGCCCGGGTTCCGAAGCGGACCTCCAGACAGACAGAGACTGGCCTTGCATCTGAGCGGATGCGTTGGTCAACAAGTGAAAGGTACAGCCAAACAGTGCTCCGGGAGAGCGGCGACAGGCGACAGGGCAGGGTCAGAAGCCACGCCCGGGATGGTAACGATGGTGGACAAAGACGGACCTCCAAAGGCTGAAGTGAAAGAAAAACGTCCCGCGCGATTTTGTCAAGCGCCCCAAGATGGCCCCCGAGGCGAATCATCTACGTCCACGCGAGACACTCTGATTCAAAGACCCCTCCTTTTTTGGATCGCTCGTCTCCAGGATGGCTCCAGAAATGCCCTCAGGGCAGGGCCTCCAATACGCCCAAAGCGGGCCTCAAAAGCTCCCAAAAGGGCCCTAAGAGACATCTGAGCACTGAGCACTGAGCACTCCGCACATGTGCACCGTCTAAGATGCTGCAGGTGCGGCACCGGAGCGTCGGAGTTCTAGACGGGTCGCATGGCTCACTCATTTCTCAGGTGTGGATGCCTTGTATGTTCAGACCCAGTGATATCCCAATGGTAATTCAGTTGAGCGGTGTTGGCCCTTTTGTTTCACTGTGTGCTTATCTTTGCTGATGCCACGACAATGGACACCCTAACAGTCCTACCATTGAACTTGAAATGTGTTCAAAATGTCGGAAAATGTCCTAAACATGTTATGAACATGTGTTCTACATGTTAAACATGTTTAACCCATGTTTTGGACATCAGAAACTTATTTGGCAACATGCTTCCTCACCATTGATCGTCCTCCACAAGCTTATCTGAACGCTCCTCATCCCGACGGTTCGCCTGGGCATCGATTCTGGATGGGCGGCCAGGACTCGAGTTGGCCCGACAGGGCCGTCCGAAAAATGGCGTGACGCAGCCGCAAAAATGGCGCGCACGGTCGATGCAAACAACCTCGAAAACCAGAACAGCGAAACTGAAGACGGGCAGATCAACAAAAAGCGGCCTCCAAGCCCCAAACTCGAGCCTTGCGACTCCCATTGGCGGCGCGCACAATGGGGTGGAAGAAGGTGGGGAAGGCTTCTTAGAAGGAGGCTGCTCCTTCGAAGGCGCCAGCCTTGCATCTGTAGATAAGGCCCGAACCTTCTAAGAAACAGGGGTGCTTCTAAGAAGCCCTCCTCGGCGGTGGGCACACCTCCCTTTAGTAAACCTCCCTTTAGTAAAAACGGCCTGGGACGGAAACCGACGGACCTGAACCCGCAAAGACCACGGCCGCGACGCCCTCTCGCGAACCGATAACGGCCAATTCGCGAATCGACGTGCCAGGGTAGAAGCTCTGAGGAGCCCTCCCCCCTCCCCCCACCCCCCCTTCTGCGCGTGGCTGAGTCCCCGAGCCCCAGCTGCCGGCCCCAGCCTTGCATCTGCAGATGAGAAGGCCCGCGCCTTCTTAACATCAAGGAGCGGGGGCACTTCTAAGAAGCCCTCCCCCCTCCCCCCACCCCCCCCTTCTGCGCGTGGCTGAGTCCCCGAGCCCCAGCTGCCGGCCCCAGCGCGGAGCGCTGGCGAAGCCCGGCCGCGCCCCAGCGGGCCGCAGGGGGCCTCGGGCGCAGGGCGGCAGGGACGCTGCGCAGCGCCGACGGCCCGCGGCCGCTCCCCGGGGCCTGGCGGCCGACCCAGGCCCGCGACGCACGCGTCGTGATTTTTGCTCGGCGTCGAGCCCCAAACGCAGACACGATCGCGACGTGAAAAAGCCAGGACGGCAAGTTTTCCGCCATTTCCGGCCCCTGGGGGCCCTCGCCGGTCCCCGGGACCGTCCGAAAACAACTCGGGATGAGAAGCAGGTCCTGGGGGAAGGGCCTGGACTTCCGGGGACGCCGCCCTGCAAAAATCAGGACGCC